TCCAAAGAAAATGAAACGTGTAATGACTTGTACGGTAATGTTTGTAGCAGCTTTACTCACAACTACAGGCCAGTGCATAAATTCGTGCACTAGTGGGGTCCCTCGGCCTTGCCTGTGGGATGAGGCTGAAACTGGCTCTCTGACATCCCCTGAGGGGTCCCAGATAGTGAGAGGGTGCAGGCCAGACGGAGGGACCCCACTGATGCATGATCGGGGCCAGGAAAGGACGCAGGGGGTTGGCCAGCCAGGGAGGGACCGCAGAAGGGCTCCAGGGTGCGTCCGGCCCATCTCACTCAGTCCTAATTGGCTAGAACCTAGCAGCAAGCTAACCTACCGGTTGGAACATCTGCCCCCTGGTGGTCAGTGCACATCATAGCGACTGGTTGACCAGTCAACTGACTGTCCCCTGGTGGTCAGTGCACGTCATAGCGAGTGGTTGAGTGGCCTTAGCGTATCATTACCATATTATGCTTTGATTGGTTGAACGGCCGACTGGACGGCCAGACACTTAGTATATTAGTCTTTTATTATATAGGATAACCCCAAACTGGAAGCTACTCCAAGGATGTATCAATAACAGACTAGACAAACAAAACATGGCATGTATATTTAATGGTTACACTAGGCAGCAATTAAAATAGAAACAACTACTGACATATGAAACAATACAAATGAATCTCAAAAACACTATGTTGAGTGAAAGAAGCCACAGGCAAAAAAGATTCCATTCATATGATATTCAAAAACAGGAAACACTGACCTATGGTGATCAGAATAGAATAATGGTTACCTCTGATATGGGAGATGGACTGACTTAGAAGGAGCTCATAAAATCTGAAATGTATGAAAACAGTCACTGTCAAATCAAGCAAGCTCACAAATTCTGAGTGACAAGGAAGTCTCAATTTTTGAAAAGCAGGATTTTAAGTTTTAAACTAATGAATCAGAAAAGGTTATTTTAAATTCATGAAGCAACTCAAAATTAAGAAATAAGTACATAAAATAAGGTTCTATTTAAGAAATAAGAATTAGCATTTGTAAATATCAACATTGAAACCTAGAAAATATTGAAGGAAAAAAATTCTAACTATTTAAGCCACAAGGCACATTTTTTCAGTTTTATTGATGGCAAATATTTTTCAGGAAAATAATTTATTGATTACACACACACACACACACACACAATCTTTTCCTCCAAAGTAACATTTACTGTGGTTATCTAAGAAATGTAAAGTTCAGCAAAGACTCAAATGAAATCCAATAAAGTACAAATTGATAACTTGATCAAACATATTCAACTAATAACTTCTAAGAAAAGTTAGTATTACTTCAGAGTCAAGGGTCGAGACCTCTAAGTGCTATATTTGCAAAGCAATTGAGATGGTAAACCAAGACTTGGGAATGAAAGATAAGACTGAAATTTTTCAAACTTAATTTTGTCCCCAAATTCTTTTAAAGCCATTGCAATTTTTAAAAATCTGCACTATGGTCTTGTGATAAACCAAGATTTATCAAGCACCCCTCCCCAAAAGGTTAAAGTAAAAAAAAAAAATCCCTGATCACTGCATAATCAAGGTTAAGTTTTAAAAAGAAGTTGGGCCTTGCCGGTGGCTCAGTGGTTGGAGCATCAGCCCACACACAGAAGGATCTCAGGTTTGATTCCAGATCAAGGGCGCAAGCCTGGGTTGCAGTTTCGATCCTTTGAGTGCTTACTGGAGGCAGCCAATCAATGTGTCTCTCTCTCATGGATCTTTCTTTCTCTCCATTTTCCCTCTCTCATTCTCTCTCTCCACTCTTCCTCCCTTTCACCAGCTCTAAAAACTCAATGGGAAGGATACCCTCAGGTGAAGATTAACAAAAAATAATTTTTAAAATTTGGACTATAAGAATAAATTACTTTTCTAGTTCAAGATAACAGATGATTATGAACTTGCCTATATAGCCTTCACTATTTTCTTTAAAAGTTCAGTATATCTATAGAAAATTATTGCCACATCAAAGAATCCCTGTTACTTAATGTAAAACCATGTTCATATCTAATGAAGCAGCACTGAAGACAAATATCAAATGATAGTCAACGGCTTATTTTTGATCATATACTTAAAAACACTTAAAAATAGCATCCACTGTTACTTATTTTGAAGATCCCATGTAACTCAACTTACTAGGAAAAATATTTTTTGCAGAATCCATGAAATGGACTTACTGGTATGCAGAAAATAATATCACAATGTTGTTTTGTATGTGGGAAAAATTACTCAGACATCCAACAAGTACAATCTGAACTGTTCAGTGTTGACCACCTATTAAAATCTATTTAAAAATAGGGTGGCCCAGCAGGCATGGCTCAATTGAACCGTGACCTATGAACCAGAAGGTCACGGTTCAATTCCCAGTCAGGGTATAATCAGGTTGTATCAGGCTAGCAGGAGCCAGTCTATCAATGATTCTCTCTCATCGTTGATGTTTCCATCTCTCTCTCCCTCTCCCTTCCTCTCTGAAATCAATAAAAATATTTTTAAAAATAAAAATAGGATGGCACGCTGATAGGTGTGCTAAATGGTTAGTGTTCACCCTTGTACCAAAGTAATTGGGTGAAGATTAACAAAAGCAAAAAATAAAAATAAAAATAGGGTAGAAGCAGGTGGTAAACAAAATCAGTGTTGAGGCAAGATGGTGAACATCAATCATAACCCTCCTTTATCTAGTGCTTCATTTAGCAAGTCCTCGCTGGGGTACTCAATTTGTGGAGGTACCCTATTTCTAATTAGAAATGTGTCACCAAACTATATTTACATGAAAATACAAAAATACATTAACATTAAATGTTTTTTTCTTGTTAATCCTCATGAGGATATTTTTTTCCATTGATTTTTAGAGTGGAAGGGGAAGGTGGGGTTGGGGGGGAGAAGAAACATCAGTGTGAGAAAGACACAACCATTGGTTGCCTCCACACAAGCATGGACTGGGGCCAGGGATCGAACCTACAACCCAGGTACATCCTCTTGACTGATAATTGAACCCACAACCCTTTCCTCCCCCTCCCCAGCAATCACCACACTATTATCCATGCAATGTTTCTCTCTTTCTTTCCCTTCCTCTCTCTCTCAAATCAATAAAAACATATCCTTGGATGAGAATGGGGGGGTGGGGGGGAATCTAATGAAAAAAATGTGGGATTTAATGAGCAAAACAGAATCAAAAATATAGAAGCATGGAACAGACTGTCGAATCTCAGAGGGGAGGCAGGCATGGGTGGGTGGGTGGGAAGAGATCAACCAAATAACTTGTATGCATATATGTATAGTCCTTAGACACAGACCGTAGAGTGGTGGAGGTCTGGGGTGGGGGGACGGGGCAGGTTAGAGGGGGTCAATGGGGAGAAAAGGGAGACATATGTAATACTTGCAATAATAAAGATTTTTAAAAAGAAAAGAAAAACAAGACACAAAGTACTACAATCATAAATCTCACTTCTCAAACTTCTGTGCCTCCACTTT